TTCCAACGAATTCAGGAGGTTGGCTCCCTCGAAGAGCCCTGAGTTAGGCAGGTTCCTAACATCCTACCATTCTTGTGAATCTCTGTACTTGCCTAACATCTTATTCCTAGCATGACTATTAGTAAAACATGGTTCCAATTGTATAGTAGCTAGTTGTACAGGAGTGTACTTGTACTAACCCACATTTTCACATACAGCAATGCACTTACACCTTCCTTTTCCAGAAAGAGAAATAATAATATATGGATTTAGACAAAAAAGAAAAGTTCAATTCTGAGAGACTGAATATTCTGCAACTCACCAGGTACATGATGACCAGAGCCCAAGTCTGTTCCGCAGTCCATGAAAAGGGAACCTTCCAACACCTTGCTCTGAGTATAATAAGCATGAATGCTATCAGTATTTGCAATATACAAACAAACATTAGAAAACAAAAAAAAAAAAAAAAAAGATTGTATCAAAACGTTGCAGATAAAGTTCAGAATTAAATAGAGTTCAATCATTGCAGCAATAACAATAAAAACAAATCATAGCCACCTTTTAACAAACTTATAACTGCGGGTACAAATCATTCAATTGGAGAAAATGACAAGGTGTTATCCCCTGCTTGTGCAACAAGGATAATCTATTCCAAGAAAAAGGAAAAGGAACATAAATTTACATTAGGACAAGTGCATGAGACCCTACATCTTCATTGACTATTTTTTATCAGTACCTACATCTAGGGAAGTCAATGGGCCAGGTTTGGCTTGACCTACGGGTGCAAATGGATTGGATCATGATCCAATCCTATTTGGTCGAATTCGGATCACCCCTGGTTGGATCTTCAGATCGGATCGGATTCAGATCATATATATATATATGTTATTTATATGTGCTTTATAAATTTGTTATATTATTTATTTTTTTATAAAAAAAATGTATATATATGACAAAAATAATTAAAAATACTTGTATTTTTGTTTTTTCTTTCTTTAAATTGGTATATTTTATTTTTTTCTTTTAATAATTTATTATTTTTTTAAAGAAAACAAGTCAGATCAAATCAGATCTGAAGATCCAATAGGTTTCGAAAGATCCGATCAGATCTTTGGATCGGATTTGAATATACCCTGATTCGAATCCGATCCGATCCATTTGCATCCCTAGCTTGACCTGAAAACACTTCAACCTGACCTGACCCAACTAACACGGGATTCTGAAACCCAATCCAACCCGACCCATCCCATCCTATAAATGATACACCTATATCTATACTACTATTAAAAGTGTGAATGAGGTCTAGATTCTGGAATTTTTTTAACTAAAATACCCTTATATTTTGAACTTGGTCTCCCCATATTATGAAGGCAAAAAACATAATTAGAACTACTACTTTTACTAAATTCATTATATTCCCCGTCATTAAGTCCTATATTTAAAGTATTAACTCCCATTTCCTTTCATTAAATTTTATATTTAAGGCACATTAAATAAATTAGCTTTGTTGACTTTTCTTGACTAAAACACCCCTATTTATGAATTTAGTCCCTCTTTAACTGTGTGGGCAAAAAATGTAATTTAAAGTACTATTACTTTCCACTTCATTAATGTTGAGCAGGAGACCAAGAAGAAGAAGAAAAGAAGAAGGAGAAAAGAAGAAGGAAGAAGAAGGAGAAGAGGAAGAAGAATAAGAGGCAACTGAGTTAAGGCCTCAACAAAACTTAGCTTCAGTCGAGTGAAGCTATCTATTTATATTGTTCTGGCCGTACATAACAAAATGTATACAAATTTACGAAAATACCCCTGCAGGTACTAAGCCTGTACATATAATACACCTGATAACAATTAATATGTTCAAAACCAACACGAAAAATAATTAAATAAACAACCTTTTGTCTAAGTGGCAAGTAAATAGTTCAACTATCTGTGTCAAATGGGTCAACCAATGTTCTCATAGTTAAATAGTAAAAATATAAATATAAATAATACAAAAAGTATACAAAATTGTGAAAATTTTTAAGCACTTCTCTAATGTTATCTATTTATCATATCAACAACAATAAGCATGCTAAATAAAAGTATTTTTATTCAATGGAAATGAAATACAAGATTTAAAATTGATCCAAAAATGAAACCATTCCTATTCAAGTGGTGGGTCAATGTTTCAACCTTTTATGTCAAATGGATCAACCCATGATATCATAAATAAATAATAAAAATTTTAAAAAATGATAGGGACACAAAAATTATTAAAAAAAAATATAAAAAATTGTAAAAAAAACATTTGGGTGCATCTCTAATATTATGCATTCATCATATTAAACAAAAATAATATGATAGATAAGAGTCATTTTTATTAATGATAGAAATAGGATTAAAAAGTAAACTAACTTAAAAAGAAAACTGTTTTTTGCATCTAATTGATGATCAATGGTCCATAGGGAGGAGGCAAATTAGGTGGGCTTAACTCCAGCTCGAATCGACCCAGCTCATACTTTTAGACAGGCTAGCTCGTTCAAATGGTTTGAATGGTTCAACTGTCCAAGTAACTCCAATTTGAAAACATTGGTTTGAAAATAGGTGACCTGACGATGAACTATGACTAGACCTGAGTCACCCAACCCAATCCAGATTCTTTTTCAGGTTGGATTGGTCTGCCTTCTGGTTCGGGTTGCTAGATAGGAGACCCTAGCTTGCTTTTTGGGTTGGGTCGCTTTTTTCTGGGTCTAATTGTTATCATGCCATTGGTTAGGAACACAAGAAGGATGATGATGCCTAAATGGATGGTGTGTCCATGTCAAACAAATTGAATCACATGAGAAACTTAAACATTTTTTATTAGTCATAAGTTGTGGTATGTGGACTCTCCTATATGGATGATGTGTCCATGTCAAACAATGTTAGTCTGTTAAAGCCTGACACTCTATGTATTCTTAAGGACACTTCTATGTACAATTTCCTTTTTACCTCCTTTTGTACTTGACATAAATGAACAGCTAATGTACAAGATAAATGTCATTTTTCATATCAAATATTACTTGGTGATAAAGACAACATTTTAGGCATTTTTTGCAGCTATAAATAAAGGCCATTATGGTCCCAACTATCTAGGGTCTGCAAAATGGTAGACTGGATAGGATCCTAACCTTTGACATTTTATTGCACAAAGTGGCTGCTCTCATACTCAAACCCATATTTTAATGCTTGCCATCCCAAGATTTTACCATTAATTTTAAAATTCAAAAACTATGAACTATTCTAACAGTAGATACATTCCCATAGATGTATCCCAATTCCCAACATTTTAGAAGGCAAAGTGAACACATAGGTGCATAGGAAAGATGCGTTTTAAAGCATATGCCTTGCTTGAACCTAGGCACAATCCCTTTCAAAAGACATGCACCTTGCACCTCAACCCAGGTGCACACCATTTTAAAATATGCCTCTTTTGTTATTTTTGTAGATTCTTATATGCTCTACACCTTTGTAATGGTTGTTCAACTTCTAAATTACCTTTTATTGCTGTTTGTACACTATTAATGGTCTATTAACTTTTAAAATTGGAAAAAACAAAGGCCTCTCACATACCTAAAGCCTTGGTTCTTAATAGGATCTCAAATAGTAAAATTTTCACTGAAGAAGCAACAATAATACAACCAATATCTGATCCCTAATCCTAAAATAGAATAAATTACAACTAAAACCACAAAATCAACCCCTTTATATATACTATCCAAAAATTTAGGTCAAGGGTGCTATCCCAACTTACAAGGACATGTTTGGGCTTGCCTAAAGAGGCCTTTATGGAGACAAAGGGCTGATCTCCTAGGGTTGGGAATACAATATGTTTAACATCAAACTAGCTACCTGAAATAATGCAACCATGAGATAAATAAACAAATTAAAAGTTTCGCATACTTGAATTGCGGAGTGCTTAAAGGACTTTGGTATGATCCAATTTGTTTGCTTTCACTTCCACATTTTCACTTATAATATGTTTTATATATCACAATTATTATGTATTTCAATTTGAAACAGTAGGCTTTTCCAAACATTTTAATTTCTTTTAAAATTCATGTTTGTATTTTATGTATTACTCTTTTTTTTATTTTTCAAAAATTTATGTCTTGCTTTGAAATGGCACCCGCCTCACCTTGTGTCGTAGGTGCTAAAAGGCTCTTAGACTTTCATTGCACCTTGCAGTTTTAAAACACTGGCATGTCCACGAGTACATGTTTTCTCATCTTGCTAAGTCAAACTCTTGGACATGCGTCAGACTTCAACTCCCATGTTCACATGCATGCAAAACTAGTCATAAGCAACTTAGATATGTGATGTAAGAAAGATATGCTCTGCTAGGAAACCAGGTATAGAATATCAGAACTCTACTAAAGTTTCAATACGAGAAAATTACAAGAGTTCATATTCAGAAATTGGGGTCCTCAAATGAAAGGATAAAGCTTCACATACCAAAGGGAATGTCAATTCACTGTTTATTATCAGACATGATCTACCAGATCCAACTGCACCCTCACCATAACCTCGAACACTACCAAGACCCCCAATTGCAAATGCTTGATATGGTGCCATGTCCCCTACAATGGAACCACCTGTCAATCTGTTGATGAAAAAGGTTAGAACCATAACAAGAAAGGAGTAAACAAGAATTAGGCAATACTTATATCCCAAATGCACCAAAAAGAAGTTCTGTTCACCTTGCTAAGAAAAATGTAGGCCCAATTTTAAGTCCCTTTGATGCAACAAGTTTGAATCGGTTGAAAATTAGCCATTTAGATAGCAAAGGGATTCCTTGTTCAATTTGTAGAGTCAACTGAACCACAGAACAACAAAGTTAATGAATTAAAAAATGTCTTATCCTTGGTTTTAGGGTATGGAATTTATATTACAGTGAAAAATACATGTTTAAGATGAATAAAACAAATAATTTACTTGAGAGAAACTGCAGTCATTTGCCTTTGCATAACAGGACTCCTGCTTCAGAACTACCATATTATCATGTGGACCACCACTGCATAAAGAGTTAAAGGCATTTGAGACAGAAAATTTATAGTCAATTCTTCAGCTTAATTTGAAGATTAACAAATCACTGCAACCAATAGTTACCTGCAGGTCACTGGAAACCCATCAAGATCTCTGCATATGGAATGACCATCATCATTGATTGGACGAACATGCTAATGTAAAATACAGCCAATGAATGAATTAATGACTAGAATTTGCTGTTGAACCTGAAATAAGAAACTATGAAGACTATAATAAGAGAGATCCACCTCAAACTTTATGCTGGTTGTGCTGCTCCACTTGGAACTTGCAGGCTCATTCAGGTCCACCCCTGCTGAGAAGCGGCACAAATTAACACCTCCACTTCCTGAGCGCGAAAAGTTGTCAATGGGAAAACCATGGACCCCAATCTCGGGTGAAGTTGAATGCTGGAGATACCAAACATTTAAATTAGACACAACAATGTAGACTGAATATAACTCCAAACTCCCCAATTTGGTTTTCAACGTCCAGAACTGAAACAGTTCATGCCACCATTCTTTCCGTTCCACACCCAAAAAAAATGCAGGAGCAAACCTGAATGACAAAGGACTGTTGAGCGAGCCATTTGGACCTCGGCCTCCTATAAGCTACCAAAACACTGGAATCATAAAGTCCCTTATCCCAAGATACGTCAAGCTTCTCGCTTCCACCAAACAAATTGGGATGTTTTATGCAAACACTACAATGAACAGAAAAAACTCAGAAAACCAAAATCAAAACAAACAACAAAATAGAAAAATGACGATAAATCCGCTATCCATCTTCAAGTATAAAGTATAAACAACATAACTAACACCATACCTCCCAATAATCAGAGAAAGCGGATTTCCATTGTCCCTAGAGAAAACCAAATTCCAGGTGAAGGGTTGCAAGGAATAGAACCAAAGTGAAATAAGAGAGAGAAGGAGGGAGGAAAAACCTGAGAGTAGGAAGCATCAAAGCTGCACACAGCTTGTTAGTGAAATCAATGTTGACATCAATCTTAGCTGTGGACAGAAAAAATGGCGTGAGAACAACTAACAATAAGAAGAGTAACAATTAGTGATATTTATTGTGGTTATGGTTTTCTCTTTACGTTAAGTTTTAAGCAAGTATTAACCTTTGCCGGCATGGATGCTCTTCTGAGCTCCCATCCCATCACTTCAGCAACCATTAAACGGAATTTGAATTGCGAAAATCTTTCAATTCTCAAACGGATGAACGGGGATTGGCTCTGTTGGTCAAGCAGAGAGAGAGAATCTGCACGCGTTGCTTATGGTTTGCGTGGAGAGCTTCGGAAGGACGAAGGAGACCGTTCAAGTTTTCCGGAAATTGGGATTTGGGAGTCTTGTTTTCTCTGCGCCTGCAAAGGGAGATTTACGGCCAATGTTGTGCACGTAGGTTGGTGGGACCCATTATCTACTATTGAATGGATTTCAGCAAGGAAGATTTCGAACCCATCTACATTGACCCGATGTAAGGCTGCAATCGAAGAATCGGGCTCTAATCGATTCCGGGCTTGAGTTGATTAAGCTCACTTTTGGGATAAGCTTGATTAGTTAGTTCGATCAATAAAAAATTCGACCAGAAAGCTCACAGGTTTGGAGTTTGGTTTGATTAATATATATACACTAATAATGTGGTAATTTTATATAATGATAATCATAATAATAATGTATCCAATTTTTTTATAAATTTTATATATTTTTTTTTGTTTTTTATTATTAATTAGATGCAAATTGAAAATCCAATTTTGATTACATAAACATTTCATCTAAATATGTGATAATCGAATCGAGTTGTGAAGTTTTGCTTGGCTAGATTCTTCTTTTATAATATTTAATATTTTTTGTGTATCTTTTTTTTTTGTTCATTTATCAAAAAAAAATGTAAGATTTAAATAGAGAGGATTTAATGGAGGTGAAAACTAATAGTTTAGTTTACAATTTAAACTCATAATTAAATAGGAACTAAATTCAAAATTGAATATTTTAGTCAAAAGAAAGTTACACAATCTTATTCATATTTTTAATAGTGGTGTAAACATAGAATTATAGATATTTTTTTATTTTTTTATCTTTTTTGTATTTTTGTGTATAAAAATAATTCTAATATGTCACACTTACTTTATGTTTAATATGATAAATCAAAGATTAACATATTGGTATCGGATATTGTATCGGAGAATTTGGATATGGATACGGATACACTTTGGAAATGCATGAATGTGGATGAAAAATATGAAAACAGATGGATACATTAGGGAAATACATAAAAATTCCACAAATACATTAATAACACTAAATTTAAGACCAGAATATTCACAAATAATATATAAATACATAGAAAATGTATATTTTAATGGTATATATGAAAAAAAATATTTTAATTAATATATCGGGATACCTAGATATCATATAATTTTATTTATAATGCATCAATCAAGAGTCCGAGACACTAAACACATGTGCATATTATATTTTAATTATTATATCACTTTTTTATTTTACTATTTTAATTTTTAACATTAACAAAAAAACAGCTAAATATTAAATTCTCAAATGCAAAATAAAATACCAATTAATAATTCACAAAAATATAATATTAACTTAAAGTATATCAAATTTGTTAAAGTTTCTAAGATACATTCCCTATACAAATTCATAATTTTTAATTACTAAAAAAATATTTCATTGTTAATATTTTTATTTATATAAATAATTCGAAATAAAAAATAATTTATTGAAATAAATGTAGATTAGTGAATTTGATAGATTCAATTTAATATTATACTCTTCAATATTTTGTAAACAATACTTTTATTTTTTATAAATAATAAATATGTTGTTATTACTTATTAATGTAAATTAAAATATTAAATAATAATTTTTAAAAATATATAAAAAATTAAAATGCATATCATGTGTAATTTAAACATTGAAATAATCATTTTATTATTAATATTTTATTTTTATAATTTTATTGATATTAAAAATCATCTTTTTATATAAATATGGACTTGATAGATTATTTGTTCTATTAATTTATAAAATACTATTTTTGAATATTATTATTTGGAATAGTTAGAATTATTAAATATAAACAGATGTTTTTTTCTTTAAGTTGTATGTCAACATAAAAAATATATTTTAGTCTATTTAGTAACACAAGATAAAGCCTCACTTAATGGTTTAGAGTGTAGCGAAAAATGGTGCATCCAAATGACCTATGTTCGAATCAGCATAGCTGCATATTTTAGGAAGTATAGAGAGACATGGTGTTTCGTGCGTATCACATCGTGTTGATATTTAAATCATATGATATTATACATGTGCCTAAATGTTTTTTTTTTGCAAAATTTATGTATTTTTTTCATTGTTGTATTTTTATATTTTATTAGCTTTTATTATTTATTTATGACATTAAAGGTTAACATGTTTGACCCAAAATTTGAACTATTGATATTTGCCAAACATTAAAATAATTTCATTTTTTGTCAGTTCTGATTTATGTATTTAATTTTCATTACCAATAAAAATAATTCTTTTTTATTACACTTATTTTTTAATTTGACTAATAAAAATATCATTAATGTGTTTAATTTTTTCTACATTTTCTGTAAGTTTCTATATTTATTTCTATTTTAAAATTTGTATTACCTAACTATGACTTCGTAGGTTGATCAATTTTGATTTGGATGATTGAATTGCTTAGCCACCACTTGGATTAAAAATTGTTTTGTTTTTTAGTCAATTCTAAAATATATGGGTTTATATTGTTAAAAATATTAACACAAATCTAATTTAATAAGAGAAAATGGGAGTTAATAATTTAAGTATAAGAATTAATGAGAGGGGATTAAATGAGGTGGGAAGTAATAATTGAAGTTACATTTTCAACCTTACCATTAGAGATGGACTAAATACACAATTATGTACATTTTAGAAGCCATTAAAGCTATAATAAAATAACTTTTATACCCTTTTCTCAAACAAAGAAGTAGAGGATAATTTTAGTCCAAAAGAAGTTTCACATTACATCCGCACTTTTATATATAGTATAGATATGCGTATATATTATAGAATATAAAAATATATTTTATAATATATTATAAAAATATGTTTTTATATAAAAATATATTTTTATATTCTATATATACAATAAGAATATACTATATATTATATAAAAATACCATATATGTAATATAAAAAATATATTCATTTTTTAATAGAATTCGAACTCATCCAATATTTAACAAACCAAACTTAAACCGAAAAAATATAGTTTGAATCAAGCTTATATCTCAAACTCAAACCTAATAGTATTTTAGTCGAGCTGAACCAAAACATGCCAAAGTTCAGTTTGGCTTGGCTCAATTGCATATCTATCTCGAGATGTAACATTTTATGAATCCATATTTTCTTTTGCTAGTGACACTTTGCCTATCTTGCAACCCACATCCGAAGTTGTTGTTCCATTGGTCCGACTAGATGATATGCCTAATGACTCATTTGTCTCTATCCCAACACTTGAGCCATGACCCAATCTATCCTATTCGCAAATCTTGAGCCTATTATTGTTCATGTTATTGATGAGTCCATCAGCCAACTAATGTCGATTATTGGGCCTTCAACTCTTGCTCCTTTTATTGGGCCAGCCACTAATGTGTCTTCGGTTCGTCTTGAGCACATTGCTCTTAGCATTGTTTACATATTGCTCCTGTTACTGAGCCATCTTTACCTATTGCTTGTCTTCAGTGTATACACCATCCACTAGCCCAATTCCATGATTATGTTTTCCATGGGCCCCTATCATCAATCTCCCCAAATACCCACTTCTTTTTAAGCCCACCTCTTATGCCCAAGCTACCCGGAATCAATTAGATCTGTCCTTTCCACTATTTTTTTTTTTTTGGAAAGAGATGGGCTCTTGTTAGATTTTAAGGATCTTGGTCCTCTCCACTATTTTTTGGGCCTTGAGATCTCTCGCTTTTCTTTTGGTATTTTTGCCTCACAACACAAGTATACAATGGGCATTGTTTCAATCACTAGCATGGCTAAATGCAAGCCCATGTCTCATCCCATGGACCAACAATGACCTTTTGTCAATGATTCTAGCATATTACTTGATGATCCAGCCCAGTATGGGAGGCTCATTGGGTGACTTGCTTAGTTCAAGAATGCACCACAAGAAAAGCATCTCTAGGCTACTAAACGTTTTATTCACTATGTCTCCACCACTACTCAGCAAGGTATCTTCTATCTTGCTTCTAATGATTTGATTCTACGGGCCTTAAGGCTATAAATGGATTGGGTTTACCCAATAGAACCAAACCGACCAAACTGATTTTGTTGGTTTCGGTTTTGTCATTTTGTCCCAATTCATAAGTTAGTCAGTTTTGGCTTTTGCTTGTTCTAAACCGATCTGGGCCTAAACCAATTATTATGTTAATAATATATTCAGATTTTCTAGTTTTATTGTAATTTTTATTATATTTTACGTCTAAAAGGGTAAATTTGACAAATAATATATAAGATAATTTTGGTTAAAAATACTTGATTTATTAACATACAAATAATATATTATTTTACTATAATTTTTTATTATTGTTATATTATCAAAAATCAAGTTTCAAATTATTAATAACATAAATAATTATATATGTTTCTATACAATTGGGTCCAATTAGGCAACTCCCGAATGCCCCGATTGTTAACCAAGATGGTTTTGGGTCTGTGATTTTGATTAATAATCAATTTGGGACTGGTACTGGTTGTCTTGAACCAAACCCAACTCATTAACAACCCAATGGATTTATTGTGATTCAGATTGGACTTCATACCCTCTGACAAGATGTTCCACCTTAGGTTATGTCACCATGGTTGGAGGTTCACCTCTTTCATGGAAGAAGAAAAAGTAGGTGATTGTATCATGCTCTTCAATCAAACCAAGTATCATGCAATGGTGGTGGCCTGGCTCAAATAGGCGGCCCTTCATGACCTTGGATTTCTCTTACAATAACCCATGCAACTTTTTTGTGGCAGCCAAATTGCTATTCACATTGCTACAAACCCCTTGTTCTACGAACATATCAAACATATTGACATTGATTATCACTTTACACAATAACACTTTTAGCTTTGTCACATTTGCACCAAGCTCCAGGCTGCTGACTTACTAAAGCACTAGGAGTTATATCAATGAAAACACTTTTTCCTTTCGTCTCATCTCTTTGTTAGTAGAGGTGTTAGAATACAATTGCACTAAGCCCTTTTTGCCTCTTTCATTGTCTAAATATACCCAAAGAGAAAGGACCTTGTAGTTTGGTTTGTCTCTATTTCTTCTATGTTGAAATTATAGATTACTAATGATCAAATCATTACAAACATGGGATTTGTGTTGTGACAATGGGCAATGTTTAAGAAGTCAAAGAGGTGAGCAAAATGTTTAATGGTTTGTAAGTATTGAAAACTTGCTTACAACAGAGAGAAGATGGTGTTAAGGGAGTTTTATATATACAATCATGCATTAGTTGGATTGTTGGGTGTTCCTCACACCCTACAAAACACAATTATAGCTTTGAGGTTTAGTATGTTGATATCTGAACCATCTGATTTATATGATCCTTTTCACATCTAAGAAGTGCATGCATCCATTTTTCAAGATGCAAGGAGCATGCAATGCTCCAAGAGGCTATCTTGGGCATGCTTGGTTCCATGGGCGTTTATTAAGAAAAAACGCTACCACATCAGTGCCACATAAGTGTTGGTGTTTATTGTGCATGAAACCACTGTTTGGTTTCAATGTTGATCAAATTAACACTACAAAACATAAATGCCTTGATTTCCATGAACCAAGCTGTTTCAGGAAGTTCCAAATTCTCGCTTCCCCCAACGGTCTAGCATTTCCTAAAACGTAAAGCTAAGCTGGTGATGATGTGTTCATCGATGTGGTGGGTCGTAATTCTGATCCAGTGCATTGTGGATCACTGTTCCACAAAAAAAAAAGACCTACCTAAAATCCCAAGCACAAACTTCGCTCTGAGAGGAGAACACATCGTCGTCACCCTCACAAAGACAACCTCTTCACACACTACTACTACGAATGCCAGTAAGTCCACTGTCAGCACCACTAATGCCACGGTTTTAAAAAGCAATTGAGGTGAGGCTAACCAAATGGGCCTAGCCTCAATTAGGAATGGCAACGGGGCGGGCCGCGAAAATCCCCATCCCCATCCCCGCTAACGGGGACAAGGTTATTCCCATCCCCATCCCCACGGGAATCCCTATCCCCACGGGGATCCCCATTCCCCGTGATTCTTTATAATGCTAACCATTTTGTTTTTGTTTTGTTTTTTATTTTATTTAAAAAATAAAAATAAAATAATTAATATTTACAATTGTATTAGAAAATATTCAAACATATTCAACCATATTTTTAAAAATATTCATATATAGATGTATGTTTACATATTTACATATATAACGTATGCATACATATATACATATATATATTAGTGGGGATCCCACGAAGTGGGGATCGGGGTCCCTGCAGGGCGGGGAGTGCTCTCCCCATCCCCGCCCCGTTCCCGCTAACGGGGATGAAAATTTCCCCATCCCTGTCCCCGCGGGGGGGAAATCATCCCCATCCTTGCCCCATTAGCGGTGGATCCCGACAGGGATCGGGGAAATGGGGAAAATTGCCATCCCTAGCCTCAATATCCTTTCTCTCATTCCCAAGGCTTAGGCCTTGAGTTGTTAGAGCCCTACGCCTTTAAGCCTTTAGCCTTGTGATGTGCAAGGCCTAAGGCTTAATTAAGGATATTTTTTGAAATATTGTTGATGGGAGTTACTACTAAATTATATGTTGTTAAAATAATTAAATGATAAAATTTTCAAGGATATAGTAATCTACCCAATTTCAGTTTATGCCATTAAGGAATCCACAACCTTCTTAAGAACTTATTCACTAAAAAACAAAGCAATAAGCTTTTACAATTCGACACATTCAACTATTATCAAATGACCCCTAAGTTACCTCATCCAAATGACTTACTTATGGACTATGTACCTAAATTAAAAGTCTAAAACAAACCAATGAAACTACAAAGCAATTTTTTATCAATAATGGAGCTACAAAGAATAAACCAACCTTGATGCTTTTAGACCATAATGAGAAAAAAAAAACCAAGGAAAAAAAGTATTAGAAAAAATATAAAATGAAAAAACAAGTTTGGCACTAGGGATATATGATTTTTTTAATAAGAAAAAATTTGCTAGCTTAGTCCTTGGATCGGGTCAAATTCAGGTTGGCTTGGGTAATGTAAATCTAGAAAAAAATAACTTGTCTTTCCTTCATTTTTTTCTAATAAATATAAATACATAGTTTTTGTTTTCTTTTTTTTTATGTTTGAGGCTTATGCCTCAAAATGCCTTGAGGCTTAGGCATCGCCTCTTTCACACCCAACTGCCTCGCCTCCACCTTTAGCCTTTTAAAACCTTAATTGATGCCGACATAGTTGTTCATCAACGATTTCAAATGACAAAATGTTTTTTTTTGTATACATGTATTTCTTGCCACCATCAAAGGTATGTCTGTCGGCTACTATTCATTGATTCACACACAAAGGATTGATTTGCATTGGTGGAGTTGTCTCTCCATTTTTCTATGATTCCAACAAAATATTGCTGGTGTGATTATTCCTTTATTGGTAGCTCCACCACCATTAGTTGTGTGAATGTTCCTTTTCCCTAAAAAAGCAAAATCCCTCACAAAAAATGGACTGAAATAGAGTGATGGTTCGGTCATTATTTTCAAAAGATGATTATGGCCCTACTAATCTCAAGATGGAGATCCAAAATAGAGTGTTCCTTTTCTCCAAATGTCATCCAAAACCACAAGAACCCTAGTCTTCCTTTTCTCCAATTATTCCCTCAGTTTAGCTGCTCTTAAATCCATATTGTCCTTATCTTCGAAATCTAGACCTAGCATACGTTGTTGAATACTCATCAAATTTGGTTTTTGGGACACCACCGCCATCACAACTCGACCAAAAATCCCATCTTTCTCAACTTTCTTGCTTACTTCTTCTATCAAAGTAGTCTTTCCAATCCCTCTCATACCATACACCCTGATCACATTGATTTTTGGATCAATCAATGCTTGAAACCCCTCCCCCCCCCCCTTCACTTTTGATTCTTTGGATTCATATAGAACAAAATCTTTAGTTGAAATTTGTTCCATGGTCAGTTGACTTGAAGGAATTTCATTTAGACTATTATTATCAGGGAGCCAATTCATAACTTCTTGTATAATGGTATCTTCTCTTTTTTCCATAGTTGCATTATAGGATTGATATCCACTTGTCTAACATGAGTTAAAACCAACAATCCTTGTATATGAACTCTTTAGTTCTCATTTTAAGTTGATCGATGGTGCCCTTGTAATAGATACAATAATTGATCTGCCTCCAACTAAACCCTCCCACTTTGATTAACAACCTAGACAAGCAATTCAAGATTTCCAAACCCAATTGGGATTTCTATTAATAAGTAAAAGGGGGAAACTGTAAAAGAAAGAAAAAAAATGAGTTTTTTCATCAACTTATGCTTTTTCAAAGAAACAAAACCAAATTAAACAGGAGAAACTCAATGGTAGCATAAATTTGCAAAGTAAAAATAGAGTAACAGGAGGTGTATAATTCCACTATGTGAAAGTTGTCATCTTTTAAAATATAACTTCAATTACTATGGATAACATTTACAGTTGTCATCTTATATCACAATTTGAAGCTCCAAAACATGAGGGTTTTGGATGACATTTAGAGTTGGTCTCTAAATGACTCAAATAGAAAATATATTCCAACCTCTATGTTTGTTTTACTAAACAAAGTAGGTGAAAAAAATTATTCTAAAATATTTCAATAATGTTTCTACTTTTTTACATGGAAACAAATGCAACCATAGTGTTGAGGGCCTTAGGTTGGACCTAGGTTGAGTCTATTAACTATACAATCAAGTTTGTCTACTATACAATTAGGTCAATTAACTATGCAATCAAGTCTTGCTTAGGTCTTGATACTATTGTGGTTTTTGCGAGGAGTCTTTTTCTTTCTAGTTTGGAGCTCCGTGGGTAGTTTAAACACTATTCTGTATGGAGTTGCAATTCAAACTGCTTGGGTTGGGTTACAAGCCCAGCCCATGTCCAACCTAGGGAACTAAAAAGTCAAACTGCAACTTGACCTAATTGTATAGTCAATAGACTTAGTCAACAGTCAAGTTGACCTAATTGTATAGTCAACAGTCAAGTTGCAGTTTGACTGTTTAGTTCCCTAGGTTGGACATTGGCTGGGCTTATAACCCAGTTTGAATTGCAACTCCATACAGAGTAGTGTTTAAACTACCCACGGAGCTCCAAACTAGAAAGAAAAAGACTCCTCGCAAAAACCACAATAGTATCAAGACCTAAGCAAGACTTTTGTATTGTTATTTTGGCTCTTTTTTTTGTTACGTTCACTCTAAGAACCTATGTGGGAATTCTGTTTCTTTTTTGCAACTTATGCTTTTACCATCTTTAGTATTTAATTAACAATTGGTGAAGAGAATAGCATAGCAAATCAACCATCATAAATGAAATTGGATGAAGAGATTACTATTGTTTAAAAGAGCATTGCCATTGTTTAAGAGAGCATATTGTTCAAGAAAGAATATATAGTTTCAATTCTTGAAGGTGCTTATGACTTTTATCTAAGGGATTAGTTAATGTTAAATGTATTCTTTGGTTTTATTTTTTGGGTTAGTCTGAGGGCAATAGGGAGACGAAGATCATTACAGTTAGTGAAGAAATTTGGAAAGAATTCTGCAAAATAAGTAGCATTCAAGTTAATTTGTTTCATATGTAAGTTGTGTAGTAAATATTGATTTGTGTGCATATCCGTAGAACAATAAATGGGCTAGAAAGAATTGAACAAAGGTTTATCATCACTGGGATGAATTGCATAACATTTATGAGAGGACATATGCATCTAGTGATCATGAGTATGGTAACGATGAAGATTCAGACATTGTAGTTGAGTAATCACAATGAGTGTATTTCTTACCTACATTCAATGACAATGAGCAAGACATACCATATACAAGTGAATCTCAACTTAGTCCAAACATTGAAGATGTTGGCGACAATGTTACACCAACACAAGTTCCTAAAAGGCACAAACGGATTGGAAACTTCCCTTCATTAATGAGGAAAGGAAAGAAGATACGTCTTCCACCGAGCATTGAGAAAACCCTTGGTAATTGGGCAGACGCTAGTAAGATAAAATATGAGATGCAAAAAGAAAAAGAACGCATGGTAAGGAAACAAACGGAAACTGACTCTGCAAATATGGAGACATGCATAAAGATTATAATAAAGTTGGTAATAACCTGATTGAACTTTCCTCATCTCTTGGCAATGGGTAGAAATATGACCAATACTTTTCGAATGTTGACAATAGAAAACACAAGAGGTTTTAGCAACACAATAATTAGCAATGTCGATAGTGCTGTAATGATTGGTCCAAGAGGTTTTTCTTGAAATTTTTTCTCTTTAAATTAGCACTACAAAAGAGATGAAATGTTAAACACCATTCCTCGACATTTTCTATTAAACCTCTTATTGATAAATTTACATAATCTTTTCTCCACCAATTTATTAGTTATGTTTACCATTGAATTTGTTTTTTGGTTGTACGCATGGTTTTTAAAAACAAACCGGAAATAGAAATGATCAGGGGACCGGTTTTCAGTTAAGCGGTTCAACTGTCCGAGTCGAACAGTTCGACCCATGACATCATAAATAACTTAAAAATAAATAATATATTTATAAACAATAAAAATAGCATAAAATTAAATCAAAAACAGAAAAATATATAGAAAAATATAGAAAATAAAACTATCTAAATAAAAAACAATACAGTACCAAACACATAGAAAATATAAAAATAAAATATAGGAAAATTCTAAAAAATATAGAAAAAACACAAAAAATACAGAAAACAAAAACAGAAAAATAAAACAAAAAAGTGCAGATAGATACAGAAAATATAGAAAAAAATACGGAAAATTGAAAAAAAAAACAAAAATTTGCAAATAAATACAGATAAATAAAACAGAAAAATGCAAAAAAAAATACAGAAAAAAAAACAGAAAACTGCAAATAAATACGGAAAAAAACATGGAAACAAAAAACAGAAAAATAAAAGAAAAAAGTGTAGATAAATACAGAAAAATACAAAAAATAAAATAAAACAGAAAATTGCAAAAAAGAATACAGAAAAATAGAAAAAGAAACAAAAAAATGTCAAGCTGGAGTTGTCAATTCAAGCTCAAAAAACAACAAATCATTTTACAAAAAAATAAAAAAAAAAGATAGGAAGAAAAGATGAATTGGTGTAGTTGCTTTTCAAACCTATAATCATTTCCTACTGGTAATTGCAAAATGGACAAATTTTCTTTTTTTTATTTTTTTGAAATTTAGAACATCTAAATATGACTAATTGAAAGTTTAAGCAATATACCAAAAATTGCAAATTATCAATGAACTTTTATCAAAAGTAATGTAAAAGAAGCAACTACAGTAACACTTAAGTTTCATAATGGATATCAACCTACTTGTAATGCATAATAGAACAATCAACAATGCCTCCAAGTGAACTCCATCCATCTTTTCCAGCCTTGCTAAAAATGTTGAATGCATAATTCGCATTTCAGAAAGTACATCAACTATAGTGGGATCAGCATAACTAAAACATATAGCACACTTATATTTGCATAAAGAAGCAAATAGATGCATAGACCCTTATGTTTCCTAATTTGTGCCTGGCATGGGTTTTCTAACAAATCATGCCCAAAACAGAGATATAAAAGATTGCACATCCTATGGCCATTTTATTTTTTTTGTATTAAAATAGAAAAATATTGTTTTCACTTACTCTCATGTAAATGTGGAACCTTAACTTTGATTCCATAGACTGCAAAAAGGACTACAAAGAGAAGCAAGCACAAGTTATTAGTTTAGTAACTTGTGAAAATCAAGAAATTACAAATCTAATGATGGGATCAACTTGCTGAAGTGTTTTCAGTTAGAGATGGCACAGTTCAGTTCGTATGAAGTTTTAGGAACTAACAGATCTTCATGATACATGGAAGACTTGCTTTATAAATGCCCTTACCTATACAAATGGAAATGGACCCCTTTAGATGGTCAAGTCTTTCAGAGTTTCCTCTGGACTTCGTATTCAAAAACACAAAGAAGACAAGAAAAAAAATTTTGCAAAAGATTCCATAGATATTGCCATAACATCATGCATTCTTAATTCATCAAACATAATACTTAGATACTCAAAAATAAAAAGATTATAATCATAAGTAATAAAAAGATCACAAACCAAGTTCAACAAGTATTAAACACAAATCAAAACTTCAAGTTCAACATAGAGTTCAGTTCACTAATTTAATCATCCAAATTCTCAAGATATATTGGCCCCACTTTTCAATGGTACCAACTACCAACCAAAGCCAGGTGGTATTTCACCATCATTTTCATCTTCATCTTTAGGGGGTTGTGTTTCATCTACATCTCCAACTTGGGTGTTGGCTACATTTTTCTCCATGATTCCCCATTGCTCAATGAAAAATTCATCATCATCATCTAAAGAACGAAAACAAAAAATTAGAACTCAAAAAATATCCAAAATAATCAAGTATGGAAATGTCATTTGAGATAATATCAATGATAGTTACCATCAGTCCTAGCTCTTTTTCTTAATGGTGATTCCATTATTAGAAGTGTTGTATCATCAACTTTAAACATATCATCATTCTCATTGCCATCAAGTAATGGAGGATCCTCATCATTGTGCACTATCCAATCTTCCACAACATCAGCATATTCATGCCCAATTGGGTCAAGACTTTTAGTTTTTCTCCTACAAATCAATAAATGATACATTAGATGCATTGAAAGCATAAAAAAAACAAACATAAAAGTTAAAACACTTACCTATCCATCACATGCAGGTTACAATGAACATATACTAGGTCATTGAGCCTCTAGTGCTCTAACCTATTCCTTCTCTTTGTGTGTATACGTTCAAAAACACTCCAATTGCATTCACATCTAGATGAGCTACACATTTGGCTAAGGATTTGTACAACAACCCTTTTCAAATTTGGAGTGTTACAACCAAATATCGACCACCATTCACCTATATGAAATGAAATAGAGTTGATTTAATTTATAAAATAAAATTGAAAATTGAAATAATAAACATGTTATAAGAAAAAAATATTTATTACCTGGAGGCATTGACTTAAATGCCTTCGCTAAGAAAGGTCTTCCAAAATTACCATGATAATCTTCAAAAAGAGTAAGCTCTTTGTTCAGCTTTATCACCGCATCATCTGATTTGATTGCAAGCTTTTCAATGACATCAAAAACTGCAGGCATAACATCCGGGGATTTAACTTTTGATTTTGGATCATATTGGAAGGCCGAGTAAAAATAATACCCTGCAAGATGAAGCCTCTTACCCATTTGTCTATTCCATCTTCTATCAATAATGTCCATGATTGGGCCATATTCAGCATTCTTATAATTAAAAAACTTTTTCATTGATTCTTTTTCCTTCAACATAGCACGATACATATATCCCATTGTAGGCCTAAACTCAGAATCTGCAAGTCTCAATGCACTAACAAGAGGTGATGTGAAACTTACAATCATTTTGCATTGTGCCCAAAATTCATAATCCAAAACTATTTGTATTACTTCATTCCTCTTTGCATCTTTGGCATACCTAGAATCAATAAAACTTCGATTTGTCACCAAATTTTGCAAATCGGGCATGCGCTTCAAAATGCTACCCAATGCAATGAAATTAGTTGCAAAACGAGTGGTTCTAGGACGTACTATCTTAGTCCAATCAGGTTTCTTCCTTAGCATTGAGAGTACAAAAATATGATTGTAGACAAATTTGTTAATTTTAGATGCACGTTGAACCACGTTTGCAACATAATCCATTTCCCCAATTTCCTTTAACATCAAGATTAGACAATGTGCTGCACAAGGTGATCAATATATCCATGGAAATTTTGTTTCCAACAATCTTCCTACAGCAACATAATTTGCAGCATTGTTAGTGACTACTTGAACAACATTTTCTGATTTTACCCACTCAATAACTTCCTTAAACAATAGAATTAAATGCTCTGTACTCTTGATTGTTTCAGAAGCATCTACAGATTTTGCAAATGTAGTTCCTATAGGAAAATACACTAAAAAATTAATCAATGTCCGGCTACGTGTATCTGTCCAACCGTCAGCCATTATAGTGCAACCATATGTAGCCCAATCCTTACAGAGTTTATCAGTTAACATTTGCACCTCCTGAACTAAATCCTTCAACAAATTGGTCTTACAATTATGATATGAAGGAGCTTTGTACTGTGGGTCAATAGTAGCAAGGGCATCCAATATATGTTGAAAATATTTTGAAGGCAAAGCATTCAAGGGAATACAAGCATCACACAACCACTTCATAACAGCACGGTCCACATGATTAATTGCTCCCTTAGATGTCAATACACTCTTAATTCCAGGTTGTGCATCTGGAGTGGTCCATGGAGCAAAATGTCTAGTTATTAGCCCTGAAGATGCTTTCCCCTTTCCCGATGATGTAGTTGGTTTTTTCCCTTGATAAGTATCATGTGTACTAAGTGGATCTAGTTCTCTAATCTCAACATCATCATCATTATCATTCCTTCCACACTGTGCTCTAGTGTCAACAAAATTCAATGGTTGCTTTTCACTTCTTTTTCGTTCATTAATTTCATTCAACGTTTGCTCCATTTTGAACCTTACATCATGGGGTACTTTACGACAAATTGCAATCTCACCTTTCCTTTGGGTAAGATGTTGTTTCATCCTATTAATCCCTCCCCCTTTAAAAGTCTTTTGACAATAAAGACATGTCATTGACTTTGATCCATTAAGAGAATCAACTTTAAGGAAAATATGCTCCAAAGCATAATCAATTTCTGCCCTATCATTTAATGAAATGGACTCTCGTGATGGAGTTGGATCAAATGTATTAGCATTTGGACTTTCGGATTCCATCATCTTAGTTCAATCAAAGAAACCCAACTCAAAAATAAATCCCTTCATACAAACACAAAATATAAAATTTAAATTTTAGAATAGCACATTGATTGACTAAAAAAACCAACAAAAATGTAAAATCACTCCATATAAGCAAAAAACTAATTAAGCAAATAATTAACCAAAAGGTAAAATCACTCAATTAGAAATGTGAGTAAATTGCTTGTAGAAATTTAAGCAAAACTTTCAGCATCTGATCATCACACGAAAATTAAGCAAAATTTGCAAATGAAAATTAAGCAAAACTTTCAAGCTTTCAGCAATTTTACGATATTGAGTTTGCAGAAAATATCAAAATACAAAAACGATATGTTTGCAAAAAATTAAAAAAAATCCAAAGAAAAAGAGATTTTAATATTTTATCATTCTTTGACATCATCTGATCATCATCATCATTCACATAGCAAATAAGAAAGGAATTGAAAAAAAAAATTAATAAAACAAAACTAATTATGCCAATGTGAGTAATTGAGTATGTGAATCTCTATAATTAATTAAGCAAAGAATTCAAAAAAAAAATAAGCAAGATTAACTAAACAAAGAATTAAGCAAAAAAAATTCAAAAAAAATCAATTAAACTCACAAAAAAATTCAGAAAAAAATTATACCATCGGGTCCTTCAAGGTTTCACTGTCGAGTGCCGGTAATGGTGGTGTGACAGTGGGCTCACCATTGATGGAGTCAGGCTTGGTCGTAGGCAAGTTGTCGTTGCAAGTGCTGCTCTAACTTGCAGAATCACCAATGCCCAATGGTGGTGTTACTGCCAATGCAAACTCCCCGCCCGCCGTTGCAAACCTGCTGGACAGCCGCTGCAAGCTTGCCATCCACCGCTACAAGTGCTGGCCGCCGCAACTCTTACTACTACTACCTACAAGTGCTGGTTGCCACAACTCTAAATAATGTAAACTCGCTGTCGCCAGTCGCCGTTGGACGCCGGAGGGAACTCAGGAAGGGTTAGAATGAAAATGGGTTCTAACCCTAAAGCTAAAGGGACTAAACATTTGAATTGGGTTAGCGATATAGAAGGTATTTTATTTTTTGTTTTTTTATTCAAAACATTGAAAATAAAAAGAGTAACTTGCGAACCGCTGCTCGGGTCAAACGGTTTATCAGTTTGACCACCGAGTTAGCGGTTTTTTGACCTTTTCAACGGTTTTTAATAAAACCGGACCCGGGGGCTGACCGGTTACTAGTTTTTCTGGTCTAGTCCGATTTTGAAAACCATGATTATACATAGCACAATTAATTAGATTTTCATACATAACTTCATATCCATATTTCTAACTTATTTTATGTTATTTTCTTTATAGGTTTAACATTCTCAAGGAGATACTTTACATGTGCAGATGGAGAAAATTTTGATCAAATTTCAAATGTCAAGTTTATTTCATTTTTTTGGATTGAGTTTAATGTATTAAAGCAACTTGAACTTGTAATATATTTTGAACATATGGATGTAAATGAAATACACATGAGATGTAATTTATTGTTTTAAGATTAAAATCTTTATTGGAAATTTGTGTCAAGTTCCAAAATATAGTATGAATTAAATAAGTGGTGTTTGTATTTAATACCCAAAAAATTTAAGATATAATTAAAGTTTTGAGGAACCGTATCTATAGATTCAAGTTTGTAGCTATGGACAAATTGAAATTGTAACTATAAATTCACATTTTTAGCCACGGTCATAAATCCAACCGTAGCTATAGATTCATAGTTTTAGCTACGGCCAACTTATCGTAGCTATATGTTAACTTTAGCTTCAGTTTTATTCATAGCAAAAGAACGAATGGTTATAAGTTTGAGCCTTTAGCTATGAACATGGACTGTAGCTATAGTTGGGTTTTAGCTATGAATTCTAGTGTTCATAGCTATAACCTATTGGCACCGCAACTATACCTATAGCTTTTTAACCGTAGCTGGTCCATAGCTATAGGTCTATAGTTACGGATTTTTTATCTATAACTCGAGGATGAGCCCTGACATGTCTTCTTAGCTTCAGTTGTTAACTTGTCTTTTTCTTTTTTTATACACTAGCAAGATAAAGGAAACAAGAAAACTTGTTGACTTGTCTTTAGTTGAGTTGTTATGCATTGTTTCTTTCTTTTTTTTTTTTTTTAGATCTTGTGATGCATTGGTTTTGGAGTTTTTGGGTTATTACATTTTGGGTGATTTATGTTTAAAGAACATGTGATTTATATTTGTTAAACTAATTCATGGATTATTTTATGGATCTCATGATGCAATTGGGATGCACATATATGGTTTGCAGTAGGGATTGCTTATGTATATTGTTGGTTAGTTGTGTGGTTAATTTTTGTTTGATGCACTCCACAAGTATATATTGTTGATCTTATAAAGATGTTTTATTGAGTAGTGTCCAAGGATACTAAGTGGTAAACTATCCATTATGTCTCCTCATAGTGGTTGTGAAACTAGGGTTGATAATTCATCCTCAAAGGAGGATGAGTTGATAGTCAATACTATTGTAATCCCATTGTTATTAGACACATATGCACTAAGAATAACTAGACAACCATGCCACACCTCTTCTTTATTTGGACACAATTATGTGTGGAAAGAAATACTATATGACCTTAAAAATCCAAATAGATGCTATTAATCATTCAGGATAGAATGCCGCATATTCAAAAACTTTGTTTACTTGCTCAAAGAGAGGGGTTTATTGAAAAATGCAAGAAACACCACAACTGAGGAGTCTTTTGTAATTTTCATGCTCACCATAAGCCAGAACGATAAAAACCATTTAATGGTCAAGCGATTCCAACATTCAACATGGACCATTAACACCCACATAAACAAGGTTATCAGAGCAATATGCAACTTAGTGAAGGATCTCATTACTCCCCCATCCTTCACAAATGGATTAAGGTAATGGTGGCCTCTATTTCTAGGATTGTATAGGACTTATGAATGGCACTCATGTCTCAACATGTGCACCACGTAATAAGCAAATCCCCTATAGAGATAGGAAGAAGGTTTGTACAAAAAATGTTTTCGTGGTGTGTGACTTCGACATGATGTTTAGATTCGTATACATTGGATAGGAGGGTTCAACTCATGATTCTAGGATCCTTGCAAAAACTATTGCTAAACCATACATCCACTTCTTAGAATCCCCTCAGGTGGGAATAAATATCTCCAAATCCTTACTACATTAATTCCAAAATTTCACTGCCATGATATATTATCACCATTAATACATGTAGGGAAATACTACCTTGTTGATTTCGGTCTTTCCAATGCACCCGACTATCTCACACTGTATTCTAGTTAGTCGTACCACCTAAGTGAATTCCATGGGCAGTGGGATTGGTTTAGAACCAAGGAAGACCTGTTCAACTATATGTACTCGTCTCTAAATTTTCAATATTGAAGAACATTCCATTCTATGATCTATTCTTGCAATGATTCATAGTCATGCATGATTCATTACATATAACTTTATCAAGAGAGGTGCGTAAAGATGAACATCTAAACTTATGGGACAATGACCAAATGGTGGACGATGAAGAGAGTGAAGTAAATGGTGGGGATGGTGGAAATGATGGTGCAAGTGCTTCAAATAGCAATTCACAACACAATACATTACAAGATTAGATTGCCAATGAGTTGTGGAAGAAATACCAAATGGCACACTAAGCTTGCATGTAATTTGGAGTGATGTTCAATCCACATTAACTATACTTTATACAATTATTATGCACTAATATGGCTTGACAACATAGCTTAAGTTTATGGTGGAAGACATTTTGTAGGTTCATTCCTGTTTTAAATTACCATTCAATTGCATTATAATACTTATTTATACAATTGTAATATGTTCCTATATATAGAGACTAATGGCAGAGGGAGCTATTTTGCCAATGTGCTCATGCGGAAAGGGATAAATGACATTACACATGACTAGGACTGAAAATAACTATGGATGGTGGTTTTTTCGTTGTTCATTGTAAGGGAATCATAAGGGATCTTTTATATGGATAGATCAGTACCGTGAGATATACCCCACACCACGTAGGGATGCCCCAAGCCAATACCATTTATTAGCAGTTGTACAACCACAATCTAGCAACGGTTACATTGCTTTGGTAGCTTGTTGTGGTTGTAATATTATGTGCTTTACATTTTGGGCATGGGTATGCATGATTATTCTAGTGTTCAAGTTTATGAAGTAGATTAATAAAAGTATAAGACCTGTCTAGCAATAGCAATACAGTCTTGGTAGTATCAATAACTATGTACGGATACTTATTAGATGTTCTAGTGATATAAGAACTCTAGGGAAGCATATTTAATTCACCTATATACAAAACACTTGTTTAATTTTATTAAACCATATAAGCTTTTTTTATAATTATTAAATCACATGATCAACTTGAGTGGTATCAAAAGTTATCAAGCAAGGGGATTGTGTGTAATTTGGCTTGACTCATGAACACTTTGTTTAAGACAAAACAAATGCAGCCCAGGTTATCAAACATTCAAATGAATTTATGAATTTTGTTTTGCAAAAGAAAATCAAAAAGAGGAAAATTTCAAACAGAAATAGCATTGTCTAGAGCTGGAGCGGAAGTGGAAGCTTCTTCACCTAGAAGGAAAAATGGCTCCGTTTGTATCCTAAACCGGATGACTGGATGAGAGGGAGAAACTTTCAGGATTCTCTGTAAATCTCTCCTCAAGGCTGGAACTCAAAAAATGAGAGAGAAAAAGAGTGAAACCAATTTCATTCTTCAGCACTTCATTTCTTAGAAAAATGAGAGAAAAAAAGAGTGAGTAATAAAAGAAAGAAAACCTGTTGGACTCGAAGTTTCAAACCTCACACTCTCAGTGATCTAAAGAGATATGGTTAAAATGTCAGATCTGAACATGGATGCATGCTCGTGGAGAGTGGAGTTTCATTTCGACAAAACCTTTGCCGGAGATGATGAAGAAAATGG